CAACCAGATCATAACAAAGTCACTGTTATGTTTTGAACAGGCTTACATTACACCCAAACAAGAGAGCGATTATATGGTTGGAGCAACTGGAGGATTAGACATGCTTCCGGTATGGAATAAAGCACCATAAAAACAAATTTATAAATACTGACATTACACTAACCTGTTTCCTGTTTTGGAATGGTTTATGGACAAATCTAATAAAAATAAGCTATGGAAACTGAAATTCAACTGAAAATTTGCCCATGTTAATCCTGCACTAAAAGAAAAATAAATATGCTTTTGTTTTAACTTAAGATCCGTTCAACTTTACTGCCAATTCATCTAGTTTATGCGTCTTAAGTCAAGCAATGTAGTGATTGTAAAATTCTAACCAAGTTATTTACCCTGGTGGCTCTTATATTTAGGAATATATAAATCTGGGGTGAATGTAAATGTTTAAAATATCAATCATTGAGCCATCAATATTGCATCAATCATTGCATTTTGCTAATCAATTAAAAAGGTTTAAGCTACTAAGACAGAAATATAAATGTTTAAGTAATTATGAACTTATAAACCAAGTGGTTGTCTATAAATTTGTTTGGATTTTTTGGACATACTACTATGTATGTCTACCTATTAGTAATAGGCATTCTTGAATCGTCTTATCTGTAAATATTTACAAACATTTTCCTTGTTGACTCATTTTCTGCTCTTTGCCCTAGCAAGTTTATTGACTTGGGTTTGATAACAAGTGATATCAGGAAGGAACATTACAACTAGAGTGGCAGATCACAAGTGCAGATGGTAAATTCATCCTTGCCTGGAATAAGAACAGAATTCAGTAAGTATATCTCAACTTATAATTTTCATGAATACAAAGTGTTGTAAATTAGTTAAATATGGTTAAATACTGAGGTAAATGTATAAATATTAACATACACTTAAACCAACTGCACTTTTTAATTATCGTGTACCGGGATGGGTACAGGTTAAACATTTTCTCATTCTTCAAAATACCAGTCCAGTATTTTGCTCTGCTCAGTGATCCCGAGGCTGTACCCCCTTAATGACACCTATTTTTTACAATTCAAGAGTAGGCCTATAAGTGACAGTTAATAATACTTATAATGAATGTTTGTAACTAACGAATTCTTGTGCACTTAATATTTCATCGTTAGTTATTCAATGATTGTTTTACTATAGATTTATTAGAATCATGTGAGGTGTTGAGTAACTAAATCCCTGCATTAGTTTAGGTATCAGAATGGTTTGGGGCTTAGCATCTGATTCTGATTCTGATTGCCCACTCTGCTCAAATCTGCCTTATGTCACAAACAGAAAATGTTTAACCTGTACCCATCCCGGTATTAACTGCAATACTGTTAAGATTCATTGTTAATATTAATAAGTATTCTATTACTTGTAGAAAAGTTTTGATTTTTACACTCAAAAGGACTTTCAGCAATTATAGGTATTAAAATTTAGTACCTACCAAAATATACAAGTTATTTCTTACTATGGCAATGCAATAGTTCGAAAATTACAAACGATTGCTTGTTTGATTATCAATTTGTTAACAAGTTCCTTGGCAAAAGCTCTTTAGATCTCGTTCATTTTTTTTTTATTTGTGTTTAGCAACAACATTTATTTTTTATTTGTTGTATTTTGATAGTTAGTTGTGATTGTGAACCTCCATATCTTTTTAAATTTTTGGTATAATTGTTGGTCTAAGATTTTTACATGGACGATTCATACCTCATATTTGTTCTAACTGCTCCATGGATGGTGGTTTTTTTGTGTTTCTGTTTGTCAAGATCTTCCAAACAGAGGACTTACGAGGGTTGTTTGTAAAACAAGGTCTTTATCGAACTCTGTCACACCCAAGCGATCTAGTTTACATCTGAAACCAACGTCATGTTCCTTACTTCTTTCACTACTTTTCTAGCACTGGTTCCCTCCCATTAGATATGATATTAGATGATCGGTTTGATCAAAGTATTAACAGTTGTCATGAAAGAAGGCGTGGGTGGGTTTCTTTAGGAAAGGGATAAATCCCGTGTGATTACTTTGCCAGAGTTGACGGATGTGCATGCAGAAAAGTGAGTCGACATGCACATTGGGTGAGGATTGCTTAAAGCCCATACATATTTGCACAGCAGGGCCAGAGGCTGTTGTTCATCAGTTTCCATCGTGCCAGTGATTGAGTTTGAGGGTACTTTGATTTTGTGTAGGCAAGTTTCAAACTTCCAGGACTGGCTCTAGTCTTATAGACATCTCCATAATAGTTTGATAGTCTATCATTCAGTGACATCGCATGTGAAATATCTCTAACCACAAATGAGTGTGGATGAACAACAGCATTGGCCTTCACCATAGAAAATGTCCTGCGAATTGCTATGTCCCCTCCATCTGCTGCGAACATTTTCTATGCTCAAACACTTTGTTCATTCACGTTCGTCAACTGGCAATGGATGGATATGGACTTGAATAGCGGTTGAGGACTGAGACCACAGAAATCTAATCATAGAACAGAATTTATACTTGACGGAAGGGTCAATTTTCTTTCACAAGGTATATGACTGTACACCCAACTGTATATGAACTGTAGTTTTTTAACTCTACTTGTCGCATAGGGATGGGAACCAGCTAGAATAAGCCTAGTAGTGAATGAAGTGAGGAACACGACATTGGTCACAGATCTGAACTAGCAGCTTGGTTGTGAAGGGAGCTAGATGGAGACCTTAGTTTACGAACAGCCCTCAAATATTAATATGGCTTAACAAATAAATCATAAAAAAGCTATACAACCTACATCAAGTCTATCCTGTGCTATAAAAAATTGCAGATACACTTTCTCCTGGAATAAACTATAGCTTAATTACGGTACTAATAGATCATACAAAATACAGGCACAAAATGGTTTAGAGAATTATTTTTGAAATTGTAAAACTAAATCTATAAATTTGGCTGTTGTAAACTGTTGTAAAAGCTATGTAGGGAGCTTGGAGGTAGTCTTCAAAACAAAATACTTAGTCAGTACTATTATTAGTTGAGCCTAAGGATGTATGGCAACAAACAGAAAGTGTCAAATCTTAGCACAATAGCTGGGACAACAGACTGAAACTTGTGGTGACAGTGTTTTATAGCTCGCTAAGGTAAGGGAAATTGTATAGGTTACAGTAATAAAGTACATATCTTACTTATATGTATCATGATAGTAGACTTAATTATTCTCAAAAGTTCAAGTTAATTTTCATATACATAGGGATGCTGGTCATTAGTGTTACAAAGATTTTTTTGTTTAAGTACAAAATAAATTAAGTGTGATGGTGCATATAAAAAGTCTAAAGTCTAAAAATAAGCTTCCCCAAAGAACTATTTAAGTTTTTCAAAAATAACCATGTTTTTAAAAACAATACAGCAATTTCTCAATTACCTGTAAATGGATTTGAGTAGATGATGTAATTTTTTTGTTCTACGTTAAATTTTGAATAAGTATAATAGAAAATAATGGAGGAATATAAAAACTTCCGTGACCGTGCGAGATATTCAAGATTTTGTCGAAATCGCAGAAGATGATGAAGTTTTTTTTCCATGGGAGATATATCTCTAGAATTTGGCCGTAATTGCCGAAAGAAATTATATTTCTGTAACCGCGGGAGATATTATTATTATTATTATTATGTAACCATGGGAGAGGGGGGGGGGGCGGCCAATGAACTAACTTGCAGGGGGCCCAAGGGGTCTTATTCAAAATTGTTTATTGAAGTTCAACAAACAACCTTTTTAGGCCTAATATAGGCAGCAGTCTCGGATACCCGAACAAAATATTTTTCTATAGTTAAGTAGATTATTTATTGTGGGCGCCAACATTTTCTCTTGGCTGTCTGAACACAATGTAACTCTTATTTAATCCTCTGGTTTCTTTTGTTTAGACAGCTGAAGTTCAAGTGTATAATTTTAGTACTCAGCAGTGAAGTTTTTTTTTTTTTTTTGCTGTGCCGATGATTTAGACATTGTTTTAGGAACCACATACTAATCTTGCAGTTTTTTTTAGCGTGTTTAGATTGAGATTGAGATTGCCATTCCTTGTCTGATTGATCTGTAGTTCTTGTCTAATTAATTCTTTCATCATCATCAGACTCACTTAGTAAATTAAAACGATTTTGTACATGCAGGTGTTCCTTTGCCTGAGGTTTTTGTTTTTTGTTTAACCTTTCCTACCTCTGTGCAAGTTCCATTCAGTATTAGTTGAAGTTTCAATCATGACCTTTTTAGAAACCTCTTGTCTACCTTGCTGGTCATGATCTAGTAGCTAGAGCTCCATTGTCATTTTGCATGAGTTTGCTGTTTGTTTTTAGTTTTACAGAAAATAACAGTCTTTCAGGGTATTTTTTAGTAAAGTAACATTGTTTGTTGTTTTAAATCAAAGCAAGCTTGGCTCTTTTGTTGAGAACATCAGACTGAGAGAAGTTTCGAATACTTCTGTGAGGCTGTTCTGTGACAAATATCTCAAATGGAAATGCATGTTAGTGTATTTGTGGCATTTAATATCATGTGAATACCGTACCACAATCATGCCCATTGGCTTGAGAAGGTCTGTTGATATTGATGTTACATGCAGATTTCCTGCTGCTATTATTTTAGCGTTTTTAAGGATTACCTCACCCAATGAATCAAAATCAAAGAAAATATATCTTGAATTTGTCCCACAACATAAGGCTCCAGTGTTCCTGACCCTACAAGGTTCTGAATACTTTCTGAAACCGGGGTAAATAAATATATAACTTTTCCTAATCAGCTCTTGGGCAGGGATTACATTTTGACACTCATTTAGGGTATAAATTGTTACTGTTACTACAGGGTTTAAAAACTGGAATTTATCAACTGCTATACATACTGTTCAAGGATTCAAATTAATGCAATTCAGATTGAATCATCGGTGGGGATTCATTGGAATTCACAAAGAGACAATGGAATATTTAAATTATTGTCTGTCAAACTTGAGCTAGAAAGTGGATTACCAAGAGTAGTGTCGGTACATAAACCATTATTTTGAACTTGTAACGGACTGTTTGAAGGCATTTCAGTGAGTAATGCTGAATTTTCTAGTAAGATGATATTTCTGCTGTTTTTGAGCTATTTGCCCTTTTTACTAAAACCATTGAAAGCTAAAACTCAATTCCATTTCTTTTATATTAGCTTGAAGGCTCTTGTTTTTGGTCATCAAAAAATGACAAAATCTTTTTATTTGTTTTCATGATATTGACACAAGTCAAGCTCTTTTACGATTGCAGTTGTGTGTTTGCCATAAAAGATTTGTTAGGGAACAGTCCAAACCCTGGTATTGTTATGGCATCTGGGACATGAAAGAAATCCTGTAGAGATCAAAAACCAGCATTCAAATTAGAAGGCAAGTACTGCAACCACTCGGCTACCCATATCTATCTATCTATCATCCATCTATCTATCTTCTATCTATCTATATATTTAATTTTGTAAGCAAATTGGTCCCCACAAAATGTTTCGAGCTAAGAAAAAGGTAGCATGGCTGTTGAGGATTCATTTTTAAGGTCCAACAACGATGGGAAAAATATCAGAAGTATCAAAAACTAAACCCCTGCTCTGCCCGAGGCCCCACTAGAAAAAAACAGGCCATGCTGAGGGATCCATGACGTCACACTAGTGGATGGATTCTTTGATAAATTCATTGCCATATCCCATATGTTTTAGGTAAATAAGCAGGCTGTTTCTCAGATTTTAATTGTAAGATTTTAGTACAACCATCCACCACTCTGTGACGTAGTGTTGCGCTGCCCGCGCTGCAGCATGGCCTGTTTTTATAGTGGGGCCTTGCTCTGTCCCACAGGCCATCAAAGATCCAGTCATTTTCTAATGGAAGTACTGCTACAGTATTTCTATAAGCTGTTTCTACTATATAAGATGATGTAATAATGTAAACATATTGTGTATTTGTTTGTTTATTGATTTTAGTGTTCTATCTTTGACTATAAATATAACTTCAGTATCCAGATAACCAGATACTGTCTGTTGTTCCAAGCAAAAAAAGGTTCAATTAATTAATAATCTGGAAGTAGTTTCCGTTTCTTTACATTTCTTGAACTAACTAAAATATGAGTGTCAATGCCTATGAAAAGGAATTTGGTGATTTTCTTTGACAATTGGGCGAATAGCGACCACCCAGATAGCAGAAGATGGTAGAATTTTGTCTTATGTCAAAGTATTTAGATATCAAAACGGATGATTGGTTTTTAGTGAATTTCACTAAAGGGAAGTGGCTATTACCGTAGGTCTCATCTCAGGTAAGACCTAGGCCCGGGACCGATTTACTTTTTCATTTTGATGTCCGAAGAGGCCAAAAACACTATTCGTTCAAATTTTATCTATGTATATTTATATATAGAGATATATATATATATATGGTATATATACACTATACAGGGTTAGTAAAAAGTCTGGAGACCCCCTGTTAATTTTTTAACGGCTCACACTAGGAAAACTAAACTCTACACCTTTATGGCATGTTATGAAGTACTATAATGAATTATATCTATATATATAATCCAAAGTATGTATGTTTGTATGTTTGTTTGTTTGTTTGTTTGTTTGTCCTTTATGGACTCCAAAACCGCTCGACAGATTGTAATGAAACTTTCAGGCATTATTAAGGCATTATTCAAGGATGGTTTGTGTGAAGTTTGGTGCAGATCCGTCAAAAGGGCTCCACCCCAGTGGCTCTGGAGTTTCCCATGTTAACCTTATGAGTACTAATATTTAAATGGAATTAATGAATCTCAACAGCTGTTTCAATTAAACAAGTTGGTTCTGTTCTATGATGTTCAATAGCATTAAAGTTACAAAGATTACCAACAGGGTGCAGCACTATTATTTTTTTAATTTATGGCAACAGCTCATTTGCAACCAAAAGGTGAGTGAGCGTAGCGAACAAACTTCAACCTGGAGGCGAGTTAGCGTAGCGAACGAGCTAACCTGAAGGCAACCTAAAGGTGAGTGAGCGTAGCGAACGAACTTCAACCAGGACGTGATTGAGCCATGCGAACGAGCTCACTTATGAAGTTAAACGGGGCTAAGCCCGCGGGTACAGCTAGTAAAGTAATGTAACACTTCAAGTTAATTCTAATTTCTAAAGATATCAATTGGCTGTCATATCTTACTGTGTTGAGATAGAGACCTCTAGTTTGCGTTTTTAGTTTTGTTTTATCATGACCTTATAATGAGGGGTCGATGGGGCTTAACATATATCATTTTTGAATTTCCCTCAATTTCCCCCATTTTGGGTTTTGGAACCAAGTAGCAATTACGCTCAAAAAGTACTTCATAACATGCCATAGAGGAGTGTAGAGTTTAGTTTTCTTAGTGTGAGCCATTACAAAATTTACAGGGGGTCTCCAGACTTGGAAAGCTGTAAGTTAAATTTAACATGTGAGAACTTCATTCGGCTCTGCCATTTTTTACTGGATTGAGATTGAGATAGAGACCTCTAGTTTGCATTGTTGGTTTTATTTTACTATGACCTTTAAAATGAGGGGTCATTCGATGGGTCTTACCATTTAAAATTTTTTAATTCCTCCAAAATCCCCCATTTTGGGTTTGATAACCAAGTAGGAATTAGGCTCAAAAAGTACTTCATAACATGCCATAAAGGTGTGCCAAGTTTAGTTTTTCTAGTATGGGCCTAGTATGGGCATTCTAGTATGGGGAGTTAAAAAATTAACATGGGGTCTCCAGACTTTTTACTAACTCTGTATATAAAATCCAATGTTGAATGTTTGTTTATTTGTTTGTCCTTTATGGACTCCGAAACCGCTCGACAGATTGTAATGAAACTTTTAGGCATTATTAAGCATTATTCAAGGATGGTTTGTGTGAAGTTTGGTGCAGATTCGTCAAAAGGGTTCCGCCCCAGTGGCCCTGGAATTTCCCATGTCAACCTTATAAGTACTCATATTTAAATGGAATTAAAGAGTCTTAACTGCTGGTTCAACTAAACAATTTGATTCTGTGGTGTTCAATAGCATTAAAAAGTTGGGTGCAGCACTATTATTTTTTTAAATGAATGACAACAGCTAATTTGCAACCAAAATAACTCGCCAAATTTCAACTTGGAGGCGAGTTAGCGTAGGAAACGGCTAACCTGAAGGCAAGTAAGCGCAGTGAACGAGCTCCAACCTAAAGATGAGTAAGTGTAGCAAACAAACTTCAACCAGGACGACGTGATTCGTGATTGAGCCATGCGAACGAGTTCATCTTGAAAATTAACGAGCATTGACATAAAACCACATTAGGACAGGACGACGTCTGTCGGGCCAGCTAGTAAACAATAAAAGGGATGGCAATGCCTTAATATCTTTATCTTCATGTTCTATACCCATACAATCTTAATATTTAAAAAATTTGGTTTTTCTTTTCCGAGTTCGTTTGGCTCTTCTACCCGACCGATTTTCATGATTGAGGTCTCGAAATTGAAGGTATGCTCGCACAGATTTGCCATCAAGCATCGGCATATATTTATCTATAATCCCACTCGGCTTATACTTAAACGAAATTTGCTCCCCATGTATTTCTTATGGGAGTTAAATTTGGTTTTCCTTTGCCGAGTTCGTTTGGCTCTTCTACCTGACGGATTTTCATGATTGAGGTTTCAAATTGAAGGTATGCAGGCGCAGATTTGCCATTAATCATCGGAATATATTTATCTATAATCCCACTCGGCTTATATTTAAACGAAATTTGCTCCCCATGTATTTCTTATGGGAGTCAAATTTGGTTTTTCTTTGCCGAGTTCGTTTGGCTCTTTTACCTGATCGATTTTTATGATTGAGGTCTCAAATTGAAGGAATGCAAGCACAGATTTACCATCAAGCATTGGCATATATTTATCTATAATCCCGCTCGGTTTATACGTAAACGAAATTTGCTCCCCATGTATTTCATATGGGAGTTAAATTTGGTTTTTCAAGGATTTTACATGAAAATTCGGCATATATTTACCTACTGTATTACTCAAAAAAAAAAACATAGTTTGATTCATTTTTTAATTCTTACTTCAATTTAAGATGTATTTCACCAGTTTTAATTATATAATCCTATATATTTTGGTCTAAGAACCTTCAGTGAAATACCAGCTTACATTTAAGCTATTTGTTATTCAAATCGGACGAGTTTCAAGCTTAAACCTGGAGGCGAGTTAGCGTAGCGAACGAGCTAACCTGAAGGCAAGTGAGCGCAGCGAACGAGCTCCAACCTAAAGGTGAGTGAGCATAGTGAACGAACTTTAACCAGAATCTTGAAAATGAACAAGCATTGACATAAAACCACGTTAGGACAGGACGACGTCTGTCGGGCCAGCTAGTCCTATATATTTTGGTCTAAGAACCTTCAGTGAAATACCAGCTTACATTTAAGCTATTTGTTATTCAAATCGGGCGAGTTTCAAGCAAACACAAGGTGAATAACCAACATAAAAATTATTTTATCATAAGGTTTTTCTATGATTAAAAATTATTCTCTACGGTATTGTTATTTTTTTATGTTTTAGACTCAAAATCATCAGTAAATTATAGGCTTTAATTTGAGCTATTGATCGTTTGAATCAGTTAAGCTCAAGATACTGGATTACTCAATCAAAAATCATAAATTTAATTATTTTTCGGATACAACATTTACTTTAACGCTGTGGAGCAGCATGGGTCCTCTAGTCTAACATAAACTTTTAAGTGAATAATAATGGTGTGTGCTGTCTCAGGTATTCAAATGCCTCACTAATTTGTCATTAACCCACCACATTACTGTCATTAAGATAAGGAACTTCAATAATTCTAAATGCGAAACTTAAATCCACCAAAGCTGTGCAATGTAACTAGACTGACAATTTAAAAAATGACACCAAACTTGATCGAAGCAACAAATCATCAGTGGTAAGTTTAAAGGAGAAATAGTCTTAATCCCAAAGAATACCGATGATATCATCCAAATTATCCTTTGAATTCAAGTGACTACAATTTCCTTTGTGTCTAGCTTTCGCTATCACCATTTTAAAGCACAAGGACACACTTGGGCCTATTACCGGTTTAAATTTAGAAAATGGTATACATTTTTATTACTTATCATAAAGAACAAATTACCATTTAAAATAATAGTTGTTAGCACAACAACGTGCGCCGGGTAACTGCTAGTTTTTCATATATCATGGATCAGTTGAAGAGAATTTAAAGTATTTTTATGTTTATGAAGGTAACACCTGCACCAGTTGATGTATCCTCATATCTTTATTTATATTGTTGTTTAACCTAACTTTAACATTGTTTTGACCTAATTGTATGTTATTATTTATTGAACAGTAAACCTACCCTGATATTATGATCATCAGTAAAGCCCACACTGTAAAATGGACCATGAATAAAATGGAAACATGTCAGCATCAACACACTCAACTGTAACGGGAATATAGGACCTGACTCATACACCAAAACAACTTTCAGATTTTACAATTCAGTGCGTTCAAACAGCCGTGGCACCTAAGGGATTAGGAGACCCCAAGGGATTCCATGGGGTCTCCTATGCCGTCAGGTGCAACGGCTGTTTGAACGCACTGTACATTCAAAAGTTCACCTGCATAATTCAAAGTTGATGGTACATAAATGTGATGATACTACAAAATTACAATAAATCTTAGTGATATTTCAACTTGCTGCATATTCAGAGATTGGATTTTACAAGATTAATTCTATTCCTAATCTGTGGGCATTTTTATAAATTTCATAGCTATTTCTATAATCTGCTTCAGTAAATCGGAGAGCAAGATGGAATGGCTGTTGGGTTTTCTGTTAGAACACAACCTCTTCACTACAGTCATTGTTGTGATGATTGGGTTATGGCTGTATGCATACTTCACCTGTGGAGTCTGCAAGAGTAAAGCCAGGATGGATGGGAAGACTGTCATCATTACTGGTGCTAACTCAGGTAGGTAAATAAGTTCCAATAAAATAAAGTAGTGAGTTGATTGTTTTATCTTTGAAAAGTGTTATAGTTTACGTACCTACGTAAAGATTTTAATCAATTTCAGATTTAGTCAGTCAAGATTCTCTTGAACATTTGGAATAGCTGTTAAGGTGGAACTCTTAAGTTTTCACTCTTTGTATTATTTTACAAACATCTCTATAATGAAGGACTATGCAAGGCAGGTTTGGATTCAAAAAGTTTAAGTCTGTAAAACTGTGATGTTCATTCACTGGGTTCACTAAAATAACATAGAAGATTGTACCTAGAGATGCACCTTAAATATACCGAGTATAAACTAACTGCTTGATCAACAACAATGCTGAAAATGATAAACGAATAAAGAATATTTTCAATCTGTGTATGGTCGAATTGATTAAAGCAAATAATTATATTCACCACAATCAAGACTAGCCACATTTGCTTTTACACAAATTGAAATTGACTTTATAAAAATAATATTATTTGTAAAATAGTGAATGTGGATTAAAACTCTATTACTGAATTACACGTCAATTACAGGTATTGGTAAGCAGACAGCCCTAGACTTGGCTAAGAGAGGAGCAAGAGTAATACTGGCGTGTCGCAACTTAGAAAAAGCAAACGCTGCCAAAGGTAATTGAATAGTCTTTTATTAAATTTCCTCTTGGAATTTTTAATCAACCTGCAAATCTTACCACCAGTATTACACTAGCATAGTTCTCAGACATAAGCCAAGTATTCAAATGTAAGTTATTGATTAATAAGAATTAAATAGTAGTACACAAACATAGAAAAAAAAATCTTTTTTTCCTAAGACGCTAGGCACGAGCCCGGAATTGTTTTTCACATTACTTGAGGCTAGACCTAACATTGCATATTAGTTTGAATATGATAAAATGTTTACAATAAAATAGATCCAACAGATGATAGCTAATTAAAGTTACTTACTTACTTACTGCCGTGGCTCCAAAAATCTCAGTTGATTCTTCGCCTTGTGAACTAGCCTCTTCCACCCTTCTTTATCTTCTGCAAGTTGACATTTGCATCCATCGTCCAGATGTCGTTCAATACTTAATCAATCCATCTCAATTCCGGCCTTCCCGATGGACGTTTACCTCCAGGTGTGGCTCTCCAAACCTCATACTGTTTTGTTCTTCTCTATCTTAGCTCTCTATTTTTCCTTATCCCCCACATTTCTACCTCCTGCACTGGTCCAAATATTTTTCTTCTACCTCCTGCAATGGTCCAAATATTTTTCTTAGGACTTTATTTTCAAACATCATGAGTAGTTTTTCATTTTTCTTGGACAATACCCATGTCTCACTACCATATAACAGAATAGGTTAAAATATTGTCTTATATGACTGTATTTTGATTCTGTGAGATATACTTTGGATGAGATCAACTACTTGCAGGCTCCCAAACACGTATTTGCATTTGATAACTTAGTTAGTATTTCTTTGTCTTCTGAGTTTACTATTTACATAGTTACTCCTAAATATTTGAAACTTTCTATATATGTTGTAACTGTAATTAAAGTTGTGTCCAAGCAATTTAAGCAGTCAATTGCTGCAATAAAGATACCTGAACAGAACATAAAACAGATAAAAAAAAGTATAATAGTATATTTAACTACCTATCGAGTCCTGAAATGAAATGGGACTTTAGTGACGAGTATTGAACGATAGTTTTTATAACGATGAAAAAACGACTTCAACAAACTTAAAAAATTATCTGAAATTTCGTAATCTATTCATTTTTCTAATCTAAATACAATATGGCTGTACAATTAATTTTATTGTAATATTCAGCTGATTGTAACTTTGTTGATGTCAGGCAAAGTATTGTTTGTGTAGCGAAAGTAATGTTTATGTAGCGAAAGTAATGTTTTTGTCAGGAAGAGTCAGCTGATCACTATTTGTTTTTAGTGGTTGGAAATTGAATATTTTCGAAGATCTCGGCTGTATGGAAATGTGCTATTTTAAAATACAGAGTGATGAAAAAAACCTTAAATAGCTTTACAATATTAAAATATAAAGTATTGTTAGATCAGAAACAATTAACCTTGTCTATCTTGGTATGTTTCTTGTTTTATTCACACTATTCATGAAAGAATATTTCTTTACCACTAAATAGGATCACCTAATTTAAAGTATGCACTTGGTCGTTTGTATTAGCTTATATTTATATTACAAACATGTGTTTACAGTTAGAACATCTTTTATACAATTGATTTGTAATCACCCAATCGTACAATACTATTCTGGAGTACAGTACCCAATGTATTACTATTGGCTGGAATGATGTCAAAGATTATATTTTTACACTCATACTGTAGTGTCTAGAACATAAATTAATCTCACATCCTTGTAGTGTACCAAATAAATTTCTTTTAAATTATTTTGTATGTTTTCAGATGAAATAAGCCAAGCCACAGGCAGCAAAAATGTGATAGTGAAGCAACTTGATGTGAGCTTGTTGAGTTCAGTCAGGAGGTTTGCTGAGGAGATAAACAAGTCAGAGAAGAGACTTGATGTGTTGATTCACAACGCAGGAGCAGCTGTGAGAGGTCGTAATGTCACTTCGGAGGGACTACAGACAGTCTGGGCAACCAACCACTACGGACCCTTCCTCCTTACACATCTACTGATTGGTGAGTACTGAGTACGCAGGGTTGAATACATTTACAACTCTTTCAAACAAAACAGACAAGGCTCAAAAACATTTGGCACCTGATAACTAGCAGCTTGGGTTTCTGACAAACCTATAAGGAATATTATTTCTTCATAAGTTGTACAGAACGACCCTATGGTGGCAAACTACAGAACTGAGTAGATTCAATACAGAGTTCTTTTGCCATTTGGCTCTAGTGCCCTTTGCTAATATAAATACAAGACTGGCACTTTCGCAATGCGCATATACTTGACAACCAAAGGGCAAGCTAGTGCTTCAGTCAACACCAATCATGAATTCGTTGGAAATAAGTAATTACTGTATTTTCTTATTTTTTTTAGTTGCCTACTATTTTTGAATGTCAATGTTATGGTAATGTAATGTCTCAGTTTTAATTTTTTATTTCTTTATCCCAATAACCCAGCGACATTATGTCGAGTTTGTTATTGGAGATTTCCGAGTCCTGTATTTTGACCACAGAATACACTGATTAATTTTTATATAGCGATGGGTGGCTAATTTTCCTCTCTTCACAACTACTATTCAGGTATGAATTTGGACTATAATTTTCATCAGTTACTTTCAAAAATATTTGTAAGTATAGTGAACACAATTTCATGTCCTCTAAGAAAGAATTAATTAATTAACTAGCAATTTTTCTGGTGTTAGAATAGGAACAAGAAATTGTAACGAAATAGACTATTAGTAGCTCAAAGAAACCAAATAAAGTTAGTCATCCCGACTATAATGACCTCCTAGCTGTTAATAAAAACAACAGGGTCACTAAACAGCTGTGCCCAAGCAATCCTTTGTTTAGACTACAGATATTGGTACCCAAAAACCCATCTGTTCAATACACATAGCTTGATCTAAGTTACGGTAATGCTCTGAGAACTCACGCAGACGGACGGACTAAAATTCTTTCCCCATTTTGGTAGTCAAATGTGGCAACGCACACAGGAATCCGTCCGTCTGATGGAGTCTGCTTGAGTTCGCGGACAGATTTTTTGAATCGCCTCTTGAGCAATTATTAAAAATCCTCCTGCAGACTTTTTTTAGCTCTACATGAGCAAAGAGGGTTTTTCAATGTTACTTCTCCTCACTCCCACTTGGTGCTCTGTGTTTTGTTTACTCAGAGTGTCCAGCCAACCTGGAAACTGGGAATTGTACGTAAATTTTGATGACCAGGAAAAAATCTGTGAAGTTGGTAAAAAACCGAGAAATAGAAATGATCACGGCCGTTTCTGGGATCATGGTAAATCATCTCAAATTTTTCCCCAATCACACAAATGTGGCTGTGATCGCAAAAAAGTTAAACAGAATTCGCAATAGGATGTGGTATACTAGCAGGTTTAATTAAGTAAGTTTTGCTTCTTTGAGCAGCAAGTTTTGTCCTGGAAATTTTTAACCTGGGAAACCTCGAATTGTGCTTAAATTTTATTCAAGGACACCCTGGAAACCCTGTAATTACAGTACACCTACTTGTGAGTGATTGTCAACCAGTTACACACGTGGTTCCGTTTCTTTCCGAGAAGAATTCAATTGTGCCTGTGATTATCATACACAGGCTTTGTTTTAAATAATTTAAACGAAGGAGTTTGGATTTTTTAACTAAAATAGTTAAGTTAATGTGTATGGGGTCTGTCTGTGCGGAGATTGGTTTAGTTTTTGCATTGTTTCAGGGCCGAATAACTGAATAGGCACGGTAGGCACGTGCCTAGGGCCCGAGGAAATTGGCTTTTTTGGGGGGCGCCAAAAAATTTGAAAATACAAAACAATTGGCGGTTGTATTTGCATGATCGCAGTAAACTTCTGATAAACTCTCCCGGCCGTGTAGACATCGTAACCGTCTCCTGCGTTTGTCTATTTTCCACTATTTTCCTACTATTTTCCACGGTCTTGTAGACATAATTATTGCCTTCCATGGTCGCGGCAATATATGAACATATCCTGCGGTCGTGAGGAGATTATCGTCGTCTACCGCAAATGAGGCAAAATTCTAATCGTCCCCCGCGGTCGTACATAGCAATTGCCTCCCTCTATTGCGGCAAAGTAGTAATAATTTCCTGCCATCTTGTGGAGATCATCATCGTATTCCGCAAATGAGGCAAAATTCTGAATTTTCCTGCGATTGTACAAACATTATCATCGCGTCTTGCACTATCGCTATTGAATTCTGATCACCCATCGCGGCCTTAAAGACATCATTATATCGTCCCTCGCGGTCGTTTGTACATAGTAATCGTCTTCCGCGATTGCAGCAAAATTATATTCATCTCCCACACCCTTGGCCATGTATTGTATAGATCATCGTCTTCCACGAATGAGGCAAAATTCTGATCTTTTCCCGCGATCATGTGGGCATTATCATTGTCTTGCGCGATCGTGGCATAATTCCTGATCATCCCTCGCGGTCGTGTAGAAATCATTATTGTATCGTGGTCCTGTATATTTTGTAATCGTCTTCTAGGGTTGTGAAGACATTATTGTAATTGTGAAGTAATTATTGTTTCCCGCGATTGCGGCAAAATGTTAATCGTATCCCTCAGTTGTGTGGCGATCATCGTCGTCTTCTGCGATCGCTGCAAAATTCTCGCTGTTTCCTGCATTTGTGTGGACATTATAATCGCCCTCCGTGATCGCGGCAATATTCTGATCATCCCTCGCGGCTCTGTAGATATCATCATCGTCTTCTGCAATCGCAGAAAATTTTTATAATCCCTCGCGGCCGTGTGTAGACATATTGTCGTCTCCCGCAGTCACGGAAACGTCACTGTTGTCATTCGCGATGGCAGTAAATTGAAAATTCCAGGTGGATATACAAAATTCACGCATAATTCCCGGTTCAAAAAATCTTAAGTATAATTCACGGATTCCCGGTTTTCGTGGTCGGTGGACACCTTGTATAGGCTATTTGCAAAGGGGCACTACTATTAGTTGTGCTTAGGGCGCTGACAGGGTCAAAAACGGGCCTGCATGGGTTTTTATAATTGAGGCTGCATTACACTACATTTTACTGTACATCACTGAGTGACTGAAAGCACGAGGTGATGGAGGAAAGGGATAGTCTGTCTGCTTGCGGACTCCTGCAGCTGTGTGCGTTACAAAAAAATCCATCTGCCGGCAGGGGTCCGTTCTCATGAGTCCGTCTGTCTCTGTGTGCGCCGGCTTCAGCCACTCCAATAAATCTACCAATGTTTTGAGATGGGCTATGACATTTATAGATTGAGTTTTATTGTTCTATCTTATAATTTATGGGCCAGGTCCCATGGACATGAGACCTCTCTTCAAGAACCTGGCAAACATAAAGGAAATCCTATGAATTGTTCTTAAAACTGGATATACTACACATTTTTTGTTTCTTTCTTCCAGCAAATTAAACAATACTAATTACGAGTAAAATGTGTTTTGTGTTTCAGATCTAATGAAAAAGACTGGAAAGAGTAGAATCATATTTGTATCATCATATTTGCACAACTATGGTTGTTTGCACCTGAAAACCCCTAACCCAACTGAAGAAACATCAAATCGCATTCTTTACCAGAACACTAAATTTGCTAGTGTGATGTTTTCTAACGAACTGGCCAGACGTTTGGAAGGAACAGGTTTGTTGTGAAGTTTTATAAGAGTATAAAGTTAAAACTAAGTATCATACAACTAGTGACTGAACCATTTAATTTGATAGAGGGTAAAAAGAGGAGTGTGTGGTATAATACAGTATGAAAAGTAATACACTTAACACTTTTTCCAGGTATCACTGCCAACTCACTTCATCCAGGAGTAATTTTTACCTCAATTTGGGCTGACAATCCTTGGTACATGTTATTGTTCGTTACTGTATTCAATTTGTACTTTAAGGTGAGTAAAAAAAAAATAACTATCGTCATTTACTATACACAGAATAGACTACCCATGTAATGTAAAAATTTGAAGCAAAAAAAAACGTGATTCAATCTGTTGAGATGGTTACCAACTAATGACAATATTCTGTGTTAATTGATAAATCAATCAGCTGTTTGCTATGATACTGCATTGGTTTTAATTAATATTTAACCATATACAAATAGAATAAGTATAGACTGTTAGCTGTGCTGCTGTTAGCATAAGTTCTGGCGTCCACCGCTAGGTTTGCCATGTAGTTACGGCACAGTGGTGGGTGCCGGAACCGTTCTTTGACAGTCTATATATTTATTCTATTCATCTATGATTTAACCCAATACACTAGTAAACTATGGTGAGATGGATGGTCCTGAACTTCATATATTTTCTAGGATTCAAATTTTTATATCACATGGGAAGTCTATTCTGTGTATATTCAATGCTATATTGTACATTAGTTTTTAATATATCATTCAAATACTAATATTATTTTTAATATAATGTTAATCTTATACCTATATTACTTAGCTGATATTACCCATGCTTCACAACGGGGAGAAGAAAAATAAATAGTGCTGCACTCTGTTGTGTAACCTTATAACTTTTAAAAATAAATATTTAAATATCAGAACTTAACTTATTAATTTGGTTGAATGTCAAGATTCTTTGTTTCTTATTAAATACCAGCTGTTTCCTTAATAATTAATAGTGTAAATTCATAAGTATTCATCTGTTTAAATGTAAACAAATATTTTCTCCATAAGGATATCATGGTAACTTTGAAAACCACTGGGGCAAAGCCACCCATGTATAGCAACTTTCATGGTAATCGGATGAATGATTTGGCAACGTATAAAGGACAAACAAACAAACAGACAAATAGTTGTATTTTATATATAAAAATTGCAGGGGCATCGTCCTAGGGCATGGTGGAAGGAAAATACATAGGTGTGCTATTCCCGTTATATTCTGACGTCACTCGGATTGCAAACAACTGTCAAATTAGTATGTATTTGTTTTGATTTGATTGTTGTTGTTTTTATGTTTTCAAAATGGTTGAATGTGTAATAAAAACAATAACAACCAAATCAAAACAAAATACTTATTTGACAGTTACAATCAGGTGATCTTTTGTTAGCAATCCGAGTGACGTCAGAATATGACGGGAATAGCACACCTATGTATTTTCCTTCCACCATGGTCCTAGGGGTGGTAGGGGGGAGCCGACCCCCCCAATCATCTTTGAAAAGTGTACCAGTTGGGAATTTATGGGTTGGAAGGTATGAGTTGGGATTTCGGAACTGTCGACTTAAAGGTTTATTTTCAAACTAAAGCGACATCTACTCTTAAACTCATATATAAACTAATAATTAAAGTAAAAGTGTTGATAATTTCATATATTGAGTAGTATATTATACGTTACGTAACGTATCTGCAGTACGCGGTAAGTTCAATGTTTTTAAGAGACGTTTTCTTTCTGAGCTGCGCATGGAGAGCCGTATCCAATGAGTATTTATTTAAAATTGATTTTAGGAGGCTGAAACATGCATTTAGCCTATTATTGATCAGTAGACCTATAGTGTAAAAAATGTTTGAGCCACTTCAGAGATAAAAAAGCAGAAATGAAGATTGACAGTCAACTCAATAATGTGAGCAAAACCTTATTTTCTTGTTATTTGTGTATGTTAGCTGTAAAGAAGTCTTAAAGGTAAAATATCCTTCTCATTGTTAAAACTTAATATTAATTTTTGCATAAAATAGTTGGGAAATTCAAAGTGTCTCCCCCCTTCCTTGATATTTTTTTGTGCGACGCAACTGACAGATTGTAAGTTTAAGCTCTGCAAACTTGATGCCAGATGAGGGGCAAAGTCTTTTAGTTAGTTTATCAGTAGGTAGTCAGACAATAATATATTTCCAAAATCAGAGGAGATGACTTAAAATTATTATTTTATATTTACTTTCAAGCCAGAGAAACAGTTTGAGAGATGGGACATTCATGATGAATTTCTGCATGGGTAATATTCATATCTATTCAAGGTTTTTGGATATAGTCATTGTGAGTGAATTAATTACATTAATAAAAAAATAAAAAAGTGTATAGGTTAAATACGTTCATAATAATGCACCATTTTCAGAGTGAAGAACAAGGGGCCCAAACAACTATATACTTGGCAGTATCAGAAGAAGTAGAAGGTGTATCTGGAAAGTATTTTTATGATTGCAAGGTAAGAGGGTAAGACTTTTGCTTGGATATGTTTTGATAAATTGTATATAGGTACCTACAGTCAATTATTTAAAACATAATTATTTTGGTGGTAATACTTCTGCTAAGGTTATACTGGAAGAGTTTTGAGGTGATAGTAGTTTTTTAATCCATACAACTTTTAAATAAATTAGAAACCTTGTAATACTAGAGTGCATTATTAAATAATCCATCCATTGAAGATTTTTCCTAAAGCTATTTCATTTGCATCACTCTGACGCTTGATTGAACTAACCACGGTAGTGCCCGCATCTGCTGTACTTGCCATTTACTAAAATGTATATAATTCTGATCTGAAACATATTATATGAATGGGAAGCTGAGAAATGTATAAAACACAATATTTTCATATATTCACTCATGGCCTCTTGTAATACAAGGCTGTGGCAAGATAAAAAGTGTCAGCCGCAATCTCGGCCAACCGAAATAGCTGTTGTACTTTTATAATGGAGGGTCTGTCTGGTCTATGCAATGTTTATGTTTACACCTTTGTTATTACTGTTTTATTACCATGGCAATAGGCGAGACGGTGTAATGCTGTCACACACCAACGCTGCGGCCTTGTTTTAGGGGAGGCTATGATCTGTACGGTACTACTAATGAAGAAAATCACACAGATAGGATAATACAATTTCTTAAAATAAAATACCTTCTTTCAAAAAGGTACTTTTTTAAGCAGACTCATAAAACCATTATATCTGTTTTATCAAAACATGGAGCATTAACAGCACATCACCCTAAATATAGCAAACTTAATCGAGTGTTGTATCCCAAACTTTACTTCTAGGTTGCAAATGTGTTTGTGAAGCTATCTTAACAAAAATTAATCAACCCTCCTGTTATACCTTTAGGGGCCGTCCACAAATTACGTAACGCTTAAGGACGGGGTAGGGGTTCGGCTTAGCGTTACGAGGAGGGGGAGGGGGTTTTCAAGATTGTTACGGTAACGCCCTTATAATCTTTTTTTTCCAAAGTGCCAAAATGACAAAGTTTTTTTTATAAACAGTCTTTTATTTAAAAATATTCATAATATTAGTTATCATAATTTGTATTTTTTATTATTGGTCTGGAACTGATGTTATAGTTCCAAAACGTCTTACCAACTCCTAGCTCTGATATAGAAGACATCAAAAATGGATTTGGTCACCCTAAGTTGAATACGGTCGCAAAATAAGATATTGTACTGTTATTTTACCGTTATGTAAATTTATTGTTCAGGAGTACTACAGTAAATAAAACACATTTGAAGTGTTAATTTTAGTACACAAATTGCTGATGTTTATATCTTATTTATAAATAAACTATAAAGTTTGTTCTTAAAATGTTTGTTTTTATTGGTTACATTACTTCAAAACCAATTAAAAAACTTCTTGTTTTGACTTTAGGAGATAATTTCACCTAGATTTAATACCCCACAACCTTGTTTAAGAAAATATCTGACAGCGTTACGTTACAGGGGCCGGAGGGGTTGGGTTTAGTCTTGCGTTATGCAGCGTTACAGGTGGGAGGGAGTGGTTAAAAATTGATGAAAATCCCATTACATAATATGTGGACGGCCCTTTATATGAACTGTACCTGAGAGTAAAAAGCTAACAACCACAGTATACCTACCACTCTTGTGCATTGAGTTTACAATTTAATTTATTGTTTTATTACAGTGATTGTGTTAATAATTTATATATTTTGACAAATGTATCTATAACCAATTTTATTACATGTTTTATTTTTTTTCCTAAAGGAACACTTGCCTGCAAAGAAGTCAAGAGATGTTGAATATGCAAAGAAGTTTTGGGAAGTGTGTGAAGAAGTTGTAAAACTGAAACCAACAGATCCCCATATATAGGTAATGCAAATCACTCCTGACTTATACATGAACATAGAAGTGGATCGGGTGGTATAAAAGGCTGAATAAAAGAAGACAAAGATCAGGGCGCTATTGGTATTCATAATACAACGTGTCCCAAAACGAATGGATCAAATCTAGATCCTAATATACTGTTAACTACCGAGGGTCGTAAAAGTCAACTACACGCGCGGCTAATTTAAAGCTGGCCTCTTTAAGTTTTTTTTAATACCCTTCAAAAGTAATCAGCTATTCCATTTTTTACAAACTTTTATCATGAAGTTGCTATGGAGGTGCAGTTGAAAGCATAGCGCAAAAGATTTTTAGAGACAAAGTCTGTAGTGTGATTTTTTTGTCTCGAGGTTTGTGAGAGAAGTGTAGGTATCTACCACGCGATCTCAAACATAGAACATAGATGAACAAAAAGCAAAACTTATCTAGCCTCTGGAAAATATCTAATGAAATGCCCCACAATGTGTGGTCAGAGCTGATACACCGACTTGACTTTCTTTGAGCAAAACGGAGATCATGTAGAGGTTAGGCAGTGAAACCATAGTTAAATAACTTTGGAAGTCATGAAAAGATTTTTATAAAGTTAACTTTTTATCTTTGATAAGTGTTCAAACCAGTTTAATTGCATTCAATTTTGGGACAGCCGGTATTCATCATGGAATAACCAATGATGTAATAGGAAAGACTGCACCTGGAATTGCATGTAACTTTCATTAAGGTTGCAGATGCAGAGGCTTATGTACAAAGAAACGGTGGTCTGTACCATACATGTATCATAACTCGGTTTTAGATAAGAATTGTGTGTCCCACATTAACACAATTAGTAAACAATATAAATTAAAACTATATTATATTATTATAGGTAATACCAATTGGTTAACCTTGGCCTGTTTTTTAACCATCACATCCCAGACGGCACAAAAACGTGAAAATCAGATTTCAAAGTCTCCAATATCAATTACTATTCAACTGGTAACAGTGGTAACTGACTTAAATAGGGATTGACCCCTTTTAAACTACGGTAAAATAACCGCGGAACGCTATAATGCATATATTTGGCAAGATTGCCAATTTTCTTATTCTCACTGTACTCATAGGCGTGTCAAAGGGGATTCCATATTCTGTATACATACCTATCTTTAAACCATTTACTATGGCTTAGGGCCCTTCACACGAGGCCACTGGTGGCAGCTACCAGAAAGGGCTGAGGCTGTATATGGTTCCCCGCCATGCACAGCTTAAACATTGTTTTTAATGGGGGCCTTCAAGACAGTCTGTCAGGACACAGCAACCTTAGTTGCGGCTACTTTGTCGTGGGAATTAAATGGGAGCAGAGCTGTCAGACGAAGCCACTAGTGGCAGCCACCGCATAACCGGGCGCATAAACTATTTTGGGGTAGTTCAAGTGCAGAGATAGAAGCACTTGTGCTGACTGTGGAGTGGTTTTGTGTTGAACTGTTTACTTGTTGAACTAAAATGCAGTTATAACAAGCATTAAAGCAGATTTTTATAACTTAAAAGTTCACTAATGACTTTTTTGACTCCCGTTGATAGTGAAAATCTTTTTTTTTTCGTTACACAGCTCTTCAAACAAAGCGTAATAAAGGCCATTTCCTGGAGGTTAGTATTTTATGAACATGGAACATACGCCTGCGTCTTTGCCTTATTTTCTTGTTTAGTGACGTAAGAATATGTTCTTTTTGAATATCTAGTGTGTTCTTTCACATTTTGACTCATCCTATCTTCTCCCAGTAAAATTTTGGAAGATAGGAGAGGTAGAATTTGTAGATGGCTAACCCGTCTATGTTTGATAGACAAGTTAGTCTTTATAAAATGTGTTATGATACAAGATCGGTGCATTTAACCAATTCCAAGGACCCAGTAGAGTGGTAACTCAGTAACTATGCCTTTAATGTCAAACTATCACGTGAAAACAGTAGGTAAAGAAAAAAGCCTGGGAAAGAGATTATTTCATTCTTATGGTTCAGTTTATAAGAATGGCTAGAATACATAATGAGCTACTTAGTTTCTAATTTTGGTGATGTTGAAATGTCATTAGTTATTTCTCTGTATTATAGGTTCAACATTTAGTGGAAGTTGTCAATAATTTGTGTGATTGTGTAATTTAAATATCCAAAAAATGTTTATTTATGAATGAATTAATCTAATAAAATAGTTTTAATTGAAAAAATGAGCAGGTAAGTATGAATCACATCAACATGTAAAATGATAGAGTGAATTTTACGTTTTCATGATGTAAAATGGTCTTACAAATCGTTCAAAACCATGTAAGCTAACCTGGGAAAAATGTTCTCCTTTTGAAGTCCCTCCCGGAAGGTCTGGTACCCCCATTTTCATGACCCTGGTCTTGTCTGACTCCATAAGAATTATTTTTTTGTTCATATGAAAAGGCTATAATATTCACATATCGGTGGGAGTTGTTTATAGAATAGTGTACTGTAGTGGATTAAGTAAAGATCATTGTACTTAAATCAATAAACACAAAACATAAATAGTATAGGTTTGTTTGTACCTTTTCTTAATGCCTATATGAACTTTTTACAGGAAGTATCAGCTTGCAGTAGTTGAGGAAGAAACTGGGAGAATAAAGACTGTCATAAAATATTTCTCAGCCAAAGTTCCAAGACATGCAATAAGTGTACATATATTTTGCTACATTAAAACTATATGTTTTGGTTTCCCATGAAAATACATTTTCAACCTTGACCAAACAAGCCACAAAATTACAACATAAATGCCCATAATATAACTCAAAATATTACCCAACATTTATCATAGATAAAACAGTCCCTTCTGAAGCCAATTTTATTGTTAGTTCTGTCCGGTTTTCTGTAGATGTTGTGTTTTTGTTTACAATTTGTTTTTTGTTATTTTAGTAATTTAACCTCGTTTAACCAAATAAAACTATCTAATCATAAACAATAACTCGTCCACTAGCTATATAACCAAACAGTGAGACAAATAATGAGAAACTAACCCTAAAATAATAGAAACAAATTGTAAACAAAACAAGACATCTACAGAAAACCGGACAGAACTAACAATAAAATTGGTTTCAGCTGTTCCATAAGGATGGGATATCTACTAAAGGACTATGTTTTATCCATGCATTTATTTATTTTACCAATTAAAGAGTTTAATTGCCATATTGTATTAGAACTACCAACGCTAGGGTAGGCGGCCGCTCGGCGTGGCGCTCACGACAACGTACGGGGTGAAAATATACCGTGACACACTATTGTACATCACTCCGTACATCAGACCGATCATTTCTTTGATCTTTTGCCAAAAAACCGCCTCCAGAGCGCTCGTCTCCCTGCGCAGCCTGATGTCTGGTTAGACGTCCGGACCCCTAACACACTATCAAACTAGCTCTCTTCGACCTCCCTTCTCCCTGCTCGGTTCGGGGTCTTGTTCAGGGAAAAGATCAATAAAGTGTCACCATCTAAACCAAAGTACCTGGGGACCGAGCTTTGCTCGGGAAAAATCATTAGTTTACTCTGAAAGCAGTCTTAGTATTGCAGATATTTATAAATCCATTCCCATTTTTAACTCCACAATGCTCGCCTTTACTACTTCCTTCACCACTCCCTACGTCGTGGACCTGTTTCCCTCCCTTCTCATTGCATGTTAGGATTGCAGATACATTAATGTAGTTGCCACAAACAATTACCACACTCTGCACTGCTAGCCTTACTACGTCCTACACCATTTCCTACGTCATGGACCTGTTTCCCTCCCTTCCCATATAGCATTTTAGGATTGCAGATACCTTAATCTATCGTCATAAACCGTTTCCACACTCCACCCATGTAGCACAGATGGTTGGGCCAACGTTGGTAAATTGTGGAGCCACACAGTTGGCCAACGGTAGAAATGTCACCTCTTTAAACTGTTTTCCAGCCAACCATTGTCCAACCGTTTTATTTCACACAAAATAATAAAGATTTAGTACGAAAAGCATAATTATTAGTTGAGTAAATTGATTAAATAGTTCATAAAAACAAATTTTGAAAAAAAGCTAGAACAAAGTTTTTGGGCCCAGACGGGTCTTGAACCCGGGTCCTTCGACTTATGAGCCTCTTACTTTACCACTGAGCTATCTGTGATTGTTGATATAGAGAGTTTTCAAGTGGTGAAAGAGTAGCCGACAGTTGCAATGGTCGCAATACTTCAAACATTTTTGATACTACACAGTATAATATGATTCTGTTAATCTGTTAAGGCATCATAAGTAGTTTTTTTTTTTTTTGAGTTAGAGAGGATACTGGTATTTGAATATAGATTAATTAATTACCGTTAGATTATTAATGCTATTATAATTGCCTGTTATATGATTAATTACTCTTTCCCCTTAAATTGTTGCAAATAAGTTAAAGAATATTAATTTAAAAAATATTTGCATTATTATAATTATTAAAATTCATTTTTGTAGCCCCGGAACTGTAATATATAAAATATCTGGTTTTACAACACCTTTATCAGTTCCAAAAACTTTTGGAAACTTTTGGAACTGATAAAGGTATTGTAAAACCAGATATGTTAATGTTATTATAATTATGTTGTGAAAGCTAGACCCAGAGAATGAAAGTCGTGTAAACTCAACTATGGACCATCGTTGGTCCAACAAAAGTATCTTTTGTTGGTCAAACGGAGTGAAAAACGGTTGGACAACGGTTGGCTTGATGTATGATACCCAGCAATGCATATTAATGTATTTCATTAACAATGAACCAATGTTGGTCCACATCAGTTGTAAATATTGGTTGGCCCAACTACGAGATATACAGTTGGACAACGGTTGGTTGGTTGTGGAAGCTCCAACCAACCATCGACCAACTGTCCCACCCATCTGTGCTACATGGGCAGACTACTCGCCTTTACTACTTCTTTCACCACTTCCTACGTCACGGACGTGTTTCCCTCCCTTCCCACAGCATTTTAGGATTGCAGATACCTTAATCTAATCGTCATAAATGGTTCCCACACTCCGGACAGCTCGCCTTGACTACTTCCTTCACCACATCCTACGTCGCAGACCTTTTTTCATTCCTTCCCATAGCATTTTAGGATTGCAGATACCTTAATCTAATCGTCATAAACCGTTTTCACACTCCAGACTACTCGCCTTGACTACTTCCTTCACCACTTAATTCCTACGTCACGGACCTGTTTCCCTCCCTCCTCATAGCATTTTAGGATTGCAGATACCCTAATCTTATCTTCATAAACAGTTCCCACACTCCGGACAGCTCGCCTTGACTAATTCCTTCACCACTTCCTACTTCGCGGACCTGTTTCCCTCCCTTCCCATGGCATTTTATGATTGCAAATACCATAATCTAATCGTCATTGAACAGATTCCACACTCCGGACAACTCGCCTTTACTACTTCTTTTATCACTTCCTTTGTAGCGGACCTGTTTCCTTCCCTTCCCATAGCATTTTAGGATTGCAGATACCTTAATCTAATTGTCATAAACAGATCCCACACTTCACGCTGCTAGTCTTTATACTAGGCCTACAATGTATCAAATAATCTTCAGTATAATCTTTGCTCAATAGTAACAAGTGAGGTTTTTCCTTTTGTACTGTATTTTGTAATGTACTGTGGGTAGATGGCTTTTATTATGAACACATGCTACAACTTCAAGTCTTTTGTTTACTTTTTCCTTGTTAATTCAACCAACATGGTTACTTAGCAACCCATAAAGGCTAGTACTCACTAGGACACCCGGTCGCTTATCTACCGGCGACCTGGTTGACGAGCGACTAAGTTGATGATTGAACGTTTTATTGCCGGGGGGTACACACTAGGATACCTAGCACTTTCAACCAAGCTGGAAATCAAAATTTGGTGGGGATGGACTGTGTTTGGTTCTGGAATCTAGTTGCACTGACCTGTGTGTTGTGACAACATGCCCACCTACGAAGAAGAGATTGCTGCCACAGTTATAATTCGAATTAATTTCAGTAACCATAGAAGAAGGAATACATTGTTCAAAAGATTTTGGGCTAAAGAGTGGCTTCAACGCAGACACAGTTACAGCCACATGGCACTTCTACGAACTTTGCGAGATGATAATCCTCAGGATTACAAGAATTATTTGAGGATGTCAGACGACAATTTCCTTCACATTTTGCCATTGGTGACGCCTCATATTGGAAAAAAAGCTAGCTTGAAAGAGACCACGTTTAGCACTAGCACTGTTTAGTTTTGACAGTCGACTCAAACAGTGTACTGCGCATGCGCTAGCCGTCTTTAGTTGATCAACTTGGTCGCTGAAGCGTACACACTCTAGTTTTTTGAGAAATCTGATTGCCCGGCGATAAAATGGTTGATCGGAAACCCCCAGGTTTTCGATACATGTCCGAAAACCAAAAAGTTGCCTGGCAACCTACAAATCGCCGTCAACCAAATTGACAGACACGTACACACACGGCGATATTTGTGCAATTTGGTCGCTCGTCAACCAGATCGCCGGTTGATAAGCGACCGGGTGTCCTAGTGAGTACTAGCCTTAAGACTAATGTAAAAAAAATGTGACTTTCAGTTTCATTTTTCTACGTAATTAGATTTTTGTTGGCAGTTTTAACTGCAGTTAACTCGTTTTTAGGCCAGAAATAAACTATTTACAACATTTTTGAAGAAAATCATCGGAGCTGTTTTTGAGATATTTTTTTGAAAGTAAGCATACTTATAAGGTAAACGCACCAGTAGCTGACAGTATAAGAAACTATACGCACTTAATAATCCGTGGTTTTGAATAAATAGGAACTAAAGAGATATTACGGATTTTATGTGATTCTAAATTTAGTGTAATTTTCAAATTTGTCATACAAAAAGGGTTTTTTAAATATATTTTATAACATTTTTAAACTTAATTCAACCTTTATACGTGTTCCAGTGGCTGACAGTGAAAAAAGTGCTTGTACCAGTAGCTGACAGTCAGTTGTCCCAGTAGCTGACACTGGAACTTAAATGTATTAGCTGCTAAACCTAAAGGTTTTATAATTTATAAGACGAATAAAATCTAACTTAATAATTAAATTATAAAATCACATAAAACGTTATTAAGAAAATTTATTTTACATATTTTAAAATAAATAATATTTACATTAAAATATATATACAGGGTGACAAAAAAGTCTGGAAACGGCTTGATATCTTTTTAACTAAATTCGTTTGAAAATTCAAACTTTTCACATCAACTTATATGTATGATAACTACTTTTTGCAAGCATTACCATTTTTTGACCTCTACCAGGGGACGACCCATGAGGAGTAGGTACATAATCTTTGATGTAAGCATAGGTTGATATGCACATCATTTTAAAGGTCTGGTCCAGTGGAGTTCATTGCCGGAAACCGCGTCAAAAAAGGTTCATCCGTTACAAAATGGCGGCTGTCCAAAGTTCTTGCGGAATATACCTACAGAGGCCTTAGTATTGGTAAATACTCATATTATTCAACATTAGCCGGGAAATCTGAAACTCGGTAAAATTTGTTTTGAAGATTTTATAATATTAATCTATGAGCTAGTTGACTTAAAAATACAGTTTCAGCTCTCAAGCTAATGTTTAATACGAGTATTTACCAATACTAAGGCCTGTGCGGGTATATTCCACAAGAACTTTGGACAGCCGCCATTTTGTAACGGATGAACCTTTTTTGACGCAGTTTCTGGC